CCCACTACCAAAATCCCACCACACAGCCCCAGTACAGTTGTCACAGTATTGGTTTAGCTGCCATTGAACATTCAAGTCGTGAATTCCATAGACAGCTACATTGCTCTCCAGCTGGGTGCTCTCTCCAAGTTCTGGCATCTCTGAGCAGTCTGGCCCTTAACACACAAGATGAGTTTCTTCTCAGTTCAGCCTGCTTATGGGATTCAGTCCAACAGACGCTCCCATCACATGTCTACCAGATCAGACTTCACACACATACAGCCAAAGGGGAAGAGAGAATATCATTCCTACCATGTCTCCTCACCACATACGTTGGGCATTTGCCTCTTGCCTTGCAGGCATATGTGAGGGTTCCCTGCCGAGTTTGGAGCCATGATTTAAACCCCCATTTCCCACAAGGAGGCTTTATGGCATTTTGACATCGTTGATCTTGGTCTCTTCAGCTGAAACTATCCTGCTTTTTATTTAAAATGTTTGGTTTGGGTCACAGAATAAGTGAAAAGGACTTTTCACTGAGCTGGATGCTCACACAAAATAGACCTTCACTATACAAGACATTCTTATTCTTCAGCTTCCACTGCTAGCAACACGTTTAAAAAACTGCCATAAGAATTCTTGTCTACATTTCTTTTAAATGGTATTGTATGTGAGCAGCTTGGTGTTCGAGTATCATAATGCATCGTACAGTGGCAGAGCCAAAAGATAGAACTGAATTACAGTCCAACTGTGGTTTAGAGAGTTATGCAGAGCGTGTGGGTTTCTTTGTTTTGACAGACATTTAGTAGATCCTGGCTGAAACAGTGTTGAAACCATATATTTTAGGAAGATAATTAAGAAATAATGTCTTTTCACAGTCAATATTGGTTGTGCCTAATTTAAACTGATCTTTAGCTATATTCTTCTTTTATAGGAGTTCTTTTTAAATGTGAAGGATATTCTTCGAGCTCCCGCTGATGTGACAGGCCAGTTTCAGAAATGGGAAAATCAGGAAGCAGAACTGAACAAACAGTGAGTGGAGCATTCCTACTTCTCTGTGAACAGCCATTGTGTAGCTACGTGTTTATTTTTTTCCTTGCAAAATGACATAATATGTATATAGTGATATTCATAAACCTGTAGAGTTTCCACTGAGTACCCCGGTTCTGTACAAGCTACTGAATTTAATCTTGCAACAGCTATAGGAAGTCTAGATGAAATTGTTCATTTCTCTTTGGTTATGTGAGGAACATTGGCATGCCTCATCGCTCATCGCTCTGTCTGTGAAGGTAAAGGGTACTTTTTGTTACATAGCTGTCATTTTCTTCACTACCTGAAATGCTGTCCTTCTGTCTGAGAACTGACTGATAATGAACAGTGTTTACAACTGGAAAAAAACAGTATTTTGCACATTTCAAACTGCATTAAGCAAACTGAGACAAACAAAAGTTTAATGACCTGACTAAAAGCACAAAAGATTAGAGTGCCATTGTTTGATATGCTGTTGAGAGAGACAGTGATATCAATATTGCAGTCTTTCACTCAAAACTACCGTTACATTTTTGTAATACAGTTTCCTATGTGACTTTTGTTATGATTGAAATTTAAAATAGAAGCATCTTACATTGCAGTACTAAAATTGTTCCTAGTTCAGTTCACTGTTGTGGACAGAGATGTTGACTGTTGAAGGACCACGTGCAAATGCTTCTGTTTAGTGATGTCCTCTGAAAATTTCATCTTCAGCTTGAACTTGGTAGAGAGAAGTTTCTTATAAGGGAGGAAGATGGTAAATAATAGAAAGGACAGAAGAAGGGACAAAGGAGTGGGAGGAACAGAAGATATGCTTCATGGATATTTGGTTTTGTTTCCTTTTTCTACCAATTCTCATTCTCTTTTATCTGGAAAAAGTATGTTGTTCGAAATAGTAGCATCCCTGGTGTGATGAAATGGTACTTAATATACTATATTACTTGTTATGCCTATTCAAGAACATTGCAAAGGTTTACATTAATTTATTCCCTGTATCTGCTTGTAACAGCTTCATAACACTTTCCTTTGTGGTAAGGTAGCTTCCAAATTGGTGCTTCTCGCTGGAAAGCTGTTACACAGAGTATTCGGGTGGTGCATAGGAATAGGAAAGCAATATTGTAAAAAAAAAAAGGTAAAAAGGAGGGGAAAAAAAAAAGTAAGCACAAGAAGATACTAAATAAGCAATTCATACTGCTTTTAAAAACTGGTATGAAAAGGTCAGTTGCTGAAAAAGTATTAGATCTAATTTGTTTGGATAGTTGTTTCCAATTAGATTACCCTGCCTGCCTTTGTCTATAGCAGCAAAACAGCCCCATTGTGATAATGCCTTTTTCTTGCTCATCTGTTTTTTTTCTTTCAAGTCTAAACTATGACCAGCAAAATAGTATCTCACTTCTAGGTCCCACTACCCTTCTAACAGAAATTCTTCAGAGTAGGTTGCAGATACTTTTGATATCAATAGTAAAAAAAAAAATGTTTTTCTTCTTAGTTTTTACGACAAGAAGGCAGCAATTCACGAAGCACTGTGTGACAATATTGACACTCGCTCTGTCTTAGAAGAAATGCGTTCGTTAGTCAGTCAGAGTAACTCCTATATTGCTGCAAAGAAATCTTCCAGACAAATGCCAAACAGACTTCTTTTAGAAAACATCAGTTCCTATCTCACTCAAATGCTGAAGGTATGTAATAGCAAGTAGTAACGTTGCTATTGCACTGTGCTATTGTAACTGTTGTATTTTTCAAGTATGTAGGGATCTGTGCAGTCTTTGTTTAGAAAGGAAACTAGAGATCTTGCACATACATCCCAGCCAAAACAACCCCAAATTGCAGCGTGTGCTGCAGCAGAAACAATTTGGAGTCCTTTATGTTACATTATAATTTCAGCTAATGTTTTGTTGAATAGTGGAGAGCCTCTAGTACATACAAGGAAAATTAGACAGTAGAAAAAATACGAAGTCAGAATCTCAAATCTGACAGCTTTAGAGCTAAATCTGAAAGCCAATGCTTAGTATGCTGTATCAATTAAAACCCAAAACATCTTATCAGAGAGCAGTGAATTGTGGGTTAAATGACAACTAGGTGTGTTCAAAACCCTAGTACGTATAGTTTTGCTTAGTTTTTACATACCTGTGACTTGATGTATACAATCTTTTCTTTTTTTCTTTTTTTCTCCCTTGACCAGATATTTGGTGCCATAGAAAGTGATGATTCAATTGGTTTTCCTGTTGGAGGGAATAATCAGAATATAAATGTAAGTGAAGGGCAAAGTACGCTACACAAGTTCGCTATACGTTCCTGTGTCCTTTGAAGACTTAGGTTAGATAAGTGAATACATTACTGATATGTAGCTGAATTACATTCTTTCTGCTTAGGAAATTTGAATCTGAAGTAATTAACTGGCTGAGGAAGCAGGATTTTTCTTCTGTGGAAGCTGGGTTTTTTATAGGTTTGTTTGACTTAATGACAGACAAATTGAATAGCAAGCAGAAAAAGAATTATCTTGTCTTCTGAGTGATGAATCTGTTTAAGAAACCACATGCTAAGTACAGAGAGCACATGCTACGGTCTAAAGACTCATTACAAGTGTTTGTGTGTTAAATAGTTTCAAAAATATAATTATACTGATTAAATTTTCTTGTGGTACACCAAAAACCAGCCTGGAGGCAGCTGGAGTTTTATCCGCATTTCAATCTCTCTTTCTGATCTCATTTGCGGCCACAGTTTTTATCGTGCTTTTGAAGGCTGTTTTCCTTTGGTCAGCCAGCAGTTCCACTGTAGATACAGAATTTTTCTGGAAACACTTCGCATACACCTGATGAAAGTGCTGACGGGCCCTGTCGTAACAGTAATGTTTTGTGATGTAGGCAGGAGAAATAACTCCATATGAAATCTATCAACCTTGCCGTCTTTGTTCATGCAAAAAATTTGACATGGACAGATCAGTGCTGTTTTTCAAGTATTTTCTACACTCAGAGGTGTGACCATATGTTTTTCTGTTCCTCCTTAGAAGGTATAATTAAAACATTTGTGGTGTAACAAAAATCCCAACTTTTTGTTCATCAAAGGAAGAGGAAATCTTGCTTGTGGTTAAAGAATGTGAATGAACACTCACCTGATAATTGCCCATGCAACTGCTTACATGAACACTCATCTTATAATTGCCCATGCAAATGGTTACATGAACACTCACCTGATAATTGCCCATGCAAATGCTTACATTACTGTGGTGTGGAAATCTCAAGCCATCATATAACAAGGATAATAAGGAGGATGCTCAGTATTCCATACCAACATCCATCAATAGTGAATTTTAATTTAGCTCAGAGTTACTTTGGATTTCAGAAGAAAGGCAGCACCTTAAAACCTTTTTAAGGGAAATGGAAATTAAATTTGTATTTAGCACTTAATTCAGGCAGTGTTGACAATAGATATGCTTTCTGGAAGGATGAGCAGTAGCTTGGAACAAGAAGCTAAGCGCTTTTCACTCCTTTAGAGTAACGTTGCCAAAGGTTGTAGGGTCAGAGGAATCTTGTGCTAACATCTGTTACACACAGGATTCTTCACAGGAAGAAACTTCTGGTTTACCACCTAAGACATTACTGGTTTTAAGCATGATAATATAAAGATGCATAATATCACAAATGTTTTGTTGTTCCATTAAATACTACACCCTCTTTCAGTCTTCCATGCAGATACGTATTTTTCTTAGTAAAAGTTACCAGGTGAACATTCAAGGTTGGAAAACTCATTAATTACAGAAGGCTGTGGATCAGACCTGTTGTTTCTTTGTCTAAATTGGAGATGAAGTAATCAATAGTCATATCTCCAAAAGAGGCATTAATCCTCTGTAAAAGCTCTGAAAGAACAACTAGCTTAATTACTGTGGTTCAGTAACTGAAAGGGGATAGAAGAGATTTGAAGTCAGAAAACTTCAGGTTCCATAGTCTCATTTTCCAAATGACTAAAGCGTTGCTGTCAGGTAAGTTACTCTGGAGATAAAATAATCTTTCATCCTCAAACGTCTGATAAAGTAGTGACAGCATGTGCTTTCCTGACACCGCTTCATTTGCATGTTGAGCTAGTTTCAGTGTAGAGGGGGTAGTGGAGATGTGACTGTTGCTCACTTTCCAGTCTGTTCTTTCTGCCAAACGCGTCAGCACAGGTTCCAGTTGTGGAGCTGGAAGCATGGTATTCACATTTATGAAAAGTTGTAACAGAGCCCCTCAGCCTCTTTCATATGGAACATTTTTAGATCATAAGAGTATCTTACCTGTTAATTGCACAGAAATTGATCATGGAGATCTAACAGATAGGAGAGATGTGGAAACTAGGGGATACAAAAGTGCTTTTTTTTCCTCTCTCCTCCACTCTACAAAGTAAAGAAACTTTTAATTTTTAGTCACCTGCGTGCTCAGCTTCTCTTGGGATTCCAGGGAAGTGTTGGCAGACAGCACTGATCTCTCGTTGGTTTTCTGGTTGTTCACTGCTGTTCACTAGCTGCTTGCTGTTGCTATTCACTGCCACGGAGAGCAGGACTCTCAGGACTTTCTCTCTGAGCTGTCATGACCAGCATTTACTTACACCTGAAATAACTCAACAGTAATCTCCCCCCACTTTTTGTCAGGGGAGTTGTGCGAGGAAGACAGACAACTGCACTGTATTCTGAATAGCTAATGCCAGTTGTATTTAACATCTGAGGAACAGCTCTGTGTTGTAATGAAAGTGAGTCCTAACAACAGTTATGTCTGGTTTTATGTCTGACAAGCAGTTGGACCTAAGTAAGACAATAAAGAACATGATGGGGCAAACTCCTCTAGGTGCTGTTTTTATCCCTATACCACATTATAGTTAGCTGGATTGTAGCATTACCCTGTGGAACTGATGTACCTGTAACTGAAAGAAGGCAAAAAAGGAATGGGGAGAGGCAGAACTTTGCAAGCTAATTTTATTTGTACAGCTCATGCAAATTATCGTATCTCCTTTGACTTCAATAGAGACATGACAATTTTTATTGATACAGATCTGCCTTGAGGGTCAAGTTCCACCCAACAGCACATAAAGTGGGTAAGGACATATTTTATATCTAAATGATGATTAGCTAACTGTAGAAATAATTATCCTGCAGATTGAATCTACAGTGATGCCATATCTCCAGGTTCTTTCTGAGTTCAGAGAAGGAGTGCGACAAATTGCCAGAGAGAAGAAAGGTGAGAGTTAATTTTTTTCCTGCACATGAGACTCCAAGGTTATAGGAATCAAACTGGGGGTGGGGGGACGATCCAGCTGATACAGTCTCTCTTTGCTTAGAGAATAAAAGTAAGGCATCCTTAAATCAGAGCTGTTTTGAATATTTGCATCTCTGCTACCTGTCTCTCTCATTTAGGAATCTTTCACAGGCTGCTAAACTCATTTTCTTTTAATTTCTTAAGGAATCTAGAAGTTCTAGAATGACAAGGACTAGCTCTTATTTCTCCAGATTAGGGCACTCCCTGCTTTCTAGGTATGAAGGTACCCATGATCTCTTCCCCTAGGGACCTTGAGTTCTCTAAAAGGTGTAGATTGCTACAACAGTACGGTCTCTGTTTAAGTAGATGTTCGTTCCTGTTTGTTAGCATAGTTGGAATTGTAGCTTCCCTGATGGTAACTGAGTGCTGTTTTTGGAGAACTCATTTCTAAGTTTACTAAGTTGGCTTTGGCGCTTCTTTCTTCTTCTCTAGAAAGCTCTGATTATGTTCTGTGTGTTGGCAGCAGAACTATGTAGGGTTAAAAAGGTTGTTACATTAAGCCCTCTGTGATTTTACTGGCTGATTATTTCTTAATGGAGCTCTTACTATTTTCTGTTGTTCCCTGTGGAATTTCACAAGTCTCCAATAGGTATTTGTTTCTTGTTTTCTTAAATTTTACACTGACATCTGTACTTGAAGGCAAAATAGGGCATTTTTAATACATAAAGCATGTATAAATAACCCATATGTTATAGAGAAGTATAAAATTACTTGTAGTGTCTGGTTGATAACCTATTCAGCTGGCAAAGAACCTGAACCCTAATTCTGCTACTGGTTTGAGTTCTTCTAAGAACTAATAAGTTGACCTTAAAAGCACAAAATTGTTAATGTGACTACTCAGCTATTACTGTCAACCTCCTATAGGCCTAATTGATGCTGAGAAATAGGCTTATTCATTCCAACAGCAAATATTTTCTGTAACTATATTTTCAAACTCAAGAAGTTGCTGTGTACATCCTTAGCCAAAAATATGACCTTTGTTCTTTCAATACTCATTTTATATGAGGCTTTTTTTTCCCCTGGCTTTCTAATGGCTGAACTAAACATATCTGCACCCTTAACAGTGGTAAGGTTTAAATGTCATGGGGTTTCTTGTAGGTCATTTTTAGAACATACATAGTGCTAGGCTGCTTACTGGCACTTGAGTTTCTTACTTTCAAGGTATTGATTTTTTTCCTGAAATAAATTGGTCAGTAAGAACAAAGCTGGATCTAGTTGCTATTTGGTTGGGGTATGGAGCAGTTACAGCACTTCACACAGGTGGTAAGGCACTGTCCCGCTGGTTTCCTGATCACTGTCCTCAGTGAGGAAAACGGCTTATGTCTTGGGGCAGCCCATAAACAACCCCCTACCCAATACCTAAACGTCTTTGCTTGGTAGGTACCACATGCAGACAACAGGCACCTTTCAGACCTAAGTACTGACTCCTCTGGATGACGGAGGATCGATCAGAAGATGTGTCTTTTCATAGATAATACATGTTTTGTTATACATTTCTCCTTATTCTCTACCTTGATGGGTTTCTCCTTCTTAAACTTTCAATTATTCATGATTTCAGATAAGTAAGTATTTATAACTGAGCAGACACTGTTTTATTGAATAAGCAGTATGTGCATCCGATATGTTCTTGACGTGACGTGTAATTCCTTTGTCTAAGTTAGAGTCAACACCTTTTAGTATTAACAGCTATTGAGTTAATCTTAGCCCTTTTTATCTTAGTGGTTTAGTTAGAGTTGCATCAAACATGAATGTGGTTCACTGTGAATAACTGCTCTGGACCAAGAAAAATAACGACATAGTTCATGGCAGGCAGAAGAGCTTTTATAACTTTTTAAGTACGTTCTGCCTTCTTTCAGCTATACAGAGAAGAAATGTGTTTCTTTGCAGGGACTTGAAATTTATAAATCTGTTCCAAGATACCCTTATTGTTCCCTGAAGGGGAACAGAAAGAAAATCCTAGGCAATTCAGAAATGATGCAGCACTTCTGCCAGGGTATAGTGGAAGGGTATATGACTCAGGAAGATCCTAGTGGTTGGTATAGGATTTCCAATAAGAAGGGTTAAGAACCATATTTTAGAAAAATAACATATTAACATACGCTGCACTACATCTAACAGTGCATTTGAAGGAGTGGGGTTTGATAAGTACATACACACTTGTCAGAGCAACTGTAATCCCAATATCCACTGTTTCGACAGACAGTTATCTTTAAGACCTAGGGTGACCAAGCTGGTTTTCTTCAAGCAAGCTAGTAGCAGCAGAAGAGAGAATTTTGATTTGGCTTTCTGGACGGTGATCAGGACATCATAACATTATTTTTTGTCCTTGTAAACTTATCAAAGAGCCTTTGATGACAGCAAATGGTTAAGAACTCAAGATTTAGCTGGAATAGATGTTATTGGGCCTTAAGAGGAAAATAAACCTTCATACAATATATTTACTTGGATGCAGAATTGTATCAGCCAAGCAGCAGAACACTTGAGGAATTAAATGCATTAAGAAGAACCAGTGTGTTGCTGTTGTGAACTTAATTCAGTGACATATTTTATAGACAGTCTTGTATTTAGGAGGAAATGCTTACGACGTGTGACCAGATAGATACTTGGGTTAGATGATACCACTTGAATAAACAAGTGTTCTTCCTTTCAGCAGCTCTCAGCTGGTTAAACCTAACAAGTAACAGGGGTCTCAAAGGTAATAATTCTGGCAGTAGAAGCTATCATCCAGACACTGTACTAACTACTGCACATATCAGTAGATACAAGTACCATCCCTGAGCCTTCATCTCTTCTGTAGTTCTCAGAGCCCCAGCGAGCTGAACACTGACCAGCCTAATACCATACAATGGCACAGCCAACCTACTTCATTGCATGGTAGGGTCCTGCGAGACTCTCTTTGTACAGGAAAACACTGCAGTTTGTAAAAGGTTTATCACTTGAAAATCAAAGACCTTTCTCTGCCCTGTGTGAGAGTGGCAAGTTCTGAATTGCATTTCAATGCTACATAGGTAGTAGGATAGAAGTATACTGTCACCAAATCTTACTTCACTAAAAGTATTTTTCATGCTCTGTAGTAACTGAAGTGCTGCAGTTGAGTGATGCTCTTCGAGATGACATCCTTCCTGAACTTGGTGTTCGATTTGAAGATCATGAAGGTACCCAATTATATGTCTTGCAACTTTGTAGGTAGTGGGTTTTATAATCTTATTATTTACATAAGAAGTGAGAAAACAGCCTGTCACAACTAATCTGGAATAGTCCAACAAGCCCAAGCCATAGCATATCATATGTCTGATGTATGAATATATATTATGGAGCTGCATATTGGAATAGATGTACATAATATAAAAACGTACATTGCAATCTTTTTGTATAGCACGTAATTTCTTAGTCACTTTTGAGTAGTTACTCAGTTGTAACTACTGTTGTAACAGTTGCAACTGTTACTCAGTTGCAAAAAAAAACGGTTGTCACAGGGTAAATCTTTGACTATTCAAGGACTGGAAACTCATTCATCTGTTCTTGCTTCCTTAGGACTTCCAACTGTGGTTAAATTAGTAGATAAGGACACATTACTGAAAGAAAGAGAAGAAAAGAAAAAGGTTATTATTTTCAACATTCTATTTTTTTTAATTTAAAGTAATGTGTAAGTTATGGATATTTTTACATTTCTTTGATAACTTCCAAGAAAAAATCTTAACAGACTAGCAACAAGGAAAATAACATAATTTAACCAGAGAATTTATAATAAAATTTGAATGTACTCAGGAAAAGAACTTTTGAAACAGTAGCTTCTTGGAAAATTTTATGTGGGACCTAATGAATACCTCTAAGTTTTTGTTTGTTTGTTTTAAGATCTTCATATAATGAAGATATGTTGAGTATTGCATGCTTACTGTCTCTGGAAGAACGATTCCAATGAGAAGCTAGTTCAGACTTTTTTTGTCTGTGCAAACGAAGTTGACATTTTCTATAGAACTAGACTGTATTTCTCTGATATGTGAGAACAAAATACACTGGCTAAATCTTAATTAACGTAGTATGCATAAGCAAGATATTCAGGGTGTGGGGTCAAGAATTCACATGTTACTATATAAAGATTGTGAATTGTAATTCACATGCACGAAGTCTGTACAGAAACCCTCCTTGTGGCACTTCCTAGCATTAATATTTGAATTTGTAACATTTAAAAGTAACACTTCACATGTCAGTTTTAACAAATAATACAATTCTGTCATGTCTAGAAATGTTGGGAAGGCTTTCCAACATTTCTACTTCCTTGTAGATATTTTTTTAGAAAAGGGAGGAGTAAAATGTAATATCAGCCAATTTCAGACATTTTCATCAGAAAGGCATTTGAAGGCAGGTTGTATATAGTTGCTGGGTGGGACCTGCAGCTAGAGCACATTTTCCCTAGAAACAGTATTATGTTCAGTTCTGGCAGAACCCTTGGAGAACTGAGAGGTCTCTCCAAAGCAAGTCCAAGATAAGTTTTATAAGTTGGCTAAATTTGGATAGTTGTTTCCCTAGGAACATCAAGGGATACAACTGCTTCGTGAGAAACTGTAGTGTCTTGACAGTTTGAGGCAAGAGCTTAAAATATCAGCTATCTTTTTTTTAAAGTAATTTTTCCCCATGAAATGGGAGGACCATCTCTTTTGCAGGCTTTGTAGGTATTCTTTTATATGTATACACTTTGCATGCAAAATGCATTCTGAACAGTTAAAACTGGTTTAACTGTGAATAAAAGCAAATGAAATCAAAGTCGTACAGTGGGAAGTACCAGACAATCCTAATTATAAGGCATGTTGGCTTTGCTGCAGGTCATGCTGCCAGTTCTGTCTGTAATTAGATATCCAGGGGAGCTAGCTGGCTCAGATTTGTAGAAAACAACCAAATGAAGTAGTTAGTTACCTTTTACTCATTGCCTTTCCTAGATTGAAGAAGAGAAGAAAAGGAAGAAAGATGAAGCAGCCAGGAAAAAACAAGAGCAGGAAGTAAGTGTTCAGATCCTTTTAATCTGGTTTTGAAGAAAAATGTTAGGAGCAGTAGTCACATGCAGGGAAGATTACACTAGAACACAGGCTCTCTGCCCAGCCTTCACTGGGCTGCCATTAAGGGGTTTTTTTTTTTCTTTGTCTACCATTTCCTGGTCAGAATGACTTTGGCTTGCAGCTCAGATGTGAGTAGTCAGCTCCTAGTATACAGCAGCCATCTTTGAAAACACAGCTAAAGGCTGCAAACGCTTCTTAGAACTTGTAGCACTTATTTCAGTCTTAGACAGTATTACTTCCTTAATTGCCAAAGTAGTATCTTACATGCCTGCTAAAGAAGATTTTGCTTGGGTCTTTATTATTTTCTTCCTTTTCCAGTGTTGTAGGTATGTGTGAAAACATCTTTGTAAGAATCCACCTGTTCTCTGAGATTGAACTCTGAAATGTAATGTTTTATAAAAACACATTTTATCTCTACAGTTGGGATTGAGATAGCTCAAAGGTTTTAGGCTTCAGCTGAGGAGTAGACAGCGGAGGAGATGAACTCATCAGAAGATTGTTTGCCGTCCTGATGACTCTTAACAGTACAGGAAATGCATTCCTGAGTTAAAAGAGGAAGTAAACTTTAGAGACCACCATGCACAGAGAAAACCAGATAAATAGCATTTACCATCCACAAATGCCAAGTGGCTTTTTGCACTTTCAAAGAGGTGATTCCCTTGCATTGGGCATAAATCACTTGGAAAGGATTCTGAGATGTGCTTGTTTAGGATAAGTGAAAGTTCAGTTTATTTTCAGTGCAACTACTTGCATCATGACCCTGCTATGACCTGCACAGAAACCTGTGCTTCTCAGCAAAAAAAAAATAAAGGTGTTTCCCTTTGCAGTGAGTTAATTGCTGAATATTCCTTACTCATAGCAACTATTTACTTGGTGTTTACACCTAAGCCACTAAGGAACCAAATTAGCAAAAATCAGATGTAGTTTTTGGAGCATATAAGTGAGTTATTTTGAGTTCCTGCAATATATCTATTTTATTAAGTGGTTCTCTACAGATGTAAAACATTTATTTTTCCCCTGGACAAGTACAGCCAAGACTTCCCGAGTTGTTCCCACTGAAAGTTTCTTTTCACATGACCAAGACTTACTGAGTTGTTCCCCACTGAAAGTTTCTTTTCACATGATAAACAATCATGAATTAAATGCTCTTTTATTTGCAAATTATAGTCTACTTTTTCCTTTTGCATATGCGACAGGTTGTCAGTAATTGTGATGCTAATGCACTTAATGCACATTTTGTATTACAGGCAGCAAAACTTGCAAAAATGAAGATTCCACCACATGAAATGTTTAAATCAGAACATGACAAATATTCTGTGTTTGATGAAAATGTAAGAGACTTTTCTTTACATAAAGATTGGTTTCCCTTCCTCTGTTGTACATACCTAGTTGTATCTGTACATAGCTGATCTTGTTCCAAAACCTCCAGGGCAGTGCTATGAACGTTAGTGGGAGGAGGGAAGGAGAGAAAGAAAAGGTGATACATTGATCTTACTGCACGTACCTTGCACTGGAAAGCAAGGCTGTCTAACTGCTCGCCATCGTTTCGACGTGTTTTCATTGTATGTCGGTTTCCTCTGGGCCCCTCTCATTGCAGAGCAGAATTCCCTGTAGATATTGTGGGTAGGAACATGTATGACGTGTGTTCACAGGTTTATTAACCTGTTGCAAAGCAAGGATTTCACGTGCAAATACAAACTCCCCAGTTCTGCCAGAACTGATGGGGACAGCCATTTTTTTTGGAGAGGTCCTGTGCTGGTTTTTTGGTTCTCTGTTTTGCTCTCTCCTGGCACTAGATCTCTGAAGAGGCTGTAGGATAACTTTGCTCTTGACTGTTCCCCCTGAGGGTGAAAGGTGTTATTTGGGAAACAGCACTGTTTCTTCAGCACTTGATGCAGGACATCGATCCTGCTTCTCCCTGTGTTCTTCACCCAGGCAAATTCAGGCTCTGGGAGCAAGTAAGAATGGAGACTGTAAATACTGGCAAATACCCCTGCAAGCCAAGGAGAATGTCCATAAAAATTCTGATTATGCTTTCTCCATTGAGAACATACATCTTTTGCTGCTGTAAAGATTTAAAGCATAAATCTTTAAGCTTTGGATTTAATATGCTAGTATGATTAAAAGTGGTCTCTTAATCATCTGCTTAGGGATTAGTCATTATTCTCTTAACTATAACCATCTAGAAGTTAATTGTCTAAGCTTTCCTTACTTAGTAGAGGACAGAAAATGTATAGCTGTCAAAAGTACCACCTTTGTCCCTTTGTTAACTAGGAAGGGAACATACATAAATAGTCCAAGTTAGTTATCAAACTTCTTGGTGACTAAACTTAGGCAAGATGCACCCATCCTGACAGCTTGTCATTAGGACATTATCCCCCTCTCTTATCAAAACACTATTTCATAATGAGCAAAAGCAGTCCAAGAATTTATCTTAAATAGTCTCTCTTTTTTTTTTTTTTTTTTACTTATTTCAGGGATTTCCCACCCATGATACAGAAGGCAAAGAACTCAGCAAAGGACAAATTAAGAAGCTAAAGAAACTTTATGAAACACAAGAAAAGCTGTACAAGGAGTATCTGCAAATGGTTCAGAATGGCAGCGCAAATTGAAAACAACAGGACTTACTGTTTTTTTAGAAGGCAAGTGCTGGGTCACCATTGAAGAAGTGAGCATATCCTGATGCTCCAATTTCTGTTTACACTTTCTATTATGTGCAGAGCAGAAATCCTGTTTACGTGGATTAATAATGTCATCTGGAAAGCCAATAAAAATCCATTCTTAACAAATGCCAACCTGTAAGGAGTTTCTTCGCAACGACAGTAGCAGGTTGAACGGTTGCCAGTTCTATTTGGGAAGATGCTACTCAGTCAGCAAATCCACATAAGGATTTTTGTTTATTATAGCTGTACAGGCTTTGGTTAATTTGTCGCTGCATACTGATCTCTATCTAAAACCCACTGTAGCTTGCATTCTGGAATATGTCACAGTCAACAAAATTTACTGCTAAATGGGAGCTGAGTAATTCGTCCCACAGCAAGAACAGTATTTTCCAGATGACTTTAGTATCTTTACATAAGCAGGAAAAACTGGGTAGTTCCACTACAATACTTACTCTAGCTGCTGTTATTAAAAACTCTCATAAGTATACCCAGAACACTTTGCATAGTAGAAGCTAACAGTCCCTTTGTTGCAAAAGGGAACAGGTTGTCATCTCTGCGCAGCCTGCCATCGCAGTCACGTGGGTTAGTACAAGGCAAATGCACCTGCAGTGAACAAACGGGTGGGAAAGACGTGAAGGGCTAATGGTGGAGGGTGGTGCATTCTTGGAGCTATTCTCCAAGAAACAGGAGTGCTGCCAAAGGACCTGATTGCCCACTCAGTACCTGGTTACCTGTTCAGAGCCAAGGGGAATTAACACAGTTTCTTACTGAGATACAGTTTGTGATTGATTTGCAATTAGGTAATACAGCTATACAGTGCTCGTTTTTCAAGACTGATGTTTTTAACATGACAATTTAACCCTGAGTTAATAATCCTTCTAATGTAGTATGGTTATATTCTGACTGCAAGGACAGTTCTCTGTTGCCTAATAATGCATTTCACTGGCAGTAGCGGCTAAATAAACTGAAGTTCATGAAATCCTAAAAAATATCTCACTGACTTCACGACTGCATATAACAGCTACGTGTCTGATATGCAGCACTATATTCATCCAGTATTCTTAAGCCTCAACGTGACTTGTAGAAGGTCATACTGTGATACCTCTGTTCTCTCAACTCTTAGGTTGATGCTGTAACCATTAGGCTATGTCCCTTTCCTTAATTAAGAGTTAAAACTTCTTTGGTTTATCTTTATATTTTTATATTTATATTCCTCCTTCTGAGGAATGAACATATTTGGAGTAACAGAAAGATCTAGTAGTTTGTTTTCTAGTTTGTCTGTATTTGCCTTTGAAAACCTATGGAATGTTAAGGTCAGTAAAGCACGTGCATCTTGTATGCAGAAAATAAAATGTGTTGTAAAATACAAGTTGTATGTGACCTTTGTATAGTGGGAAGAACATAGATACTGCCTTTATTCCACTACTATCTTTGAAATGTGGTTTGCAAAGCTTTTCCTTTAGCTTGCTGTTACTAATTTAATTCATTTTGCATTCAGTATTTGATTATGCTGTTAATTTCTAATTAACTATATAAATTTTGAACTGGGATTCTAATGTCTTTATGACATCACCATGACAACATCCTGTCTTTCCCCACCCACACAGTTTTTTTTTCTCCTCCTGCTGTGTGTTTTTGGTAGAACCTCATTCAATTCCATGGTTTATCTACTACATCAGTGTAGAAGAATTTTAAACAAAATGCCCTTTTCCTTCCCAAATGCTTCATTTTGTTTCTGGGACAACTCTCCTTGCATAGGTCTTAGAGGCATTTCAGACTCACATTCTCCAAACGCTATCTTCCATTTTTTCTGTATGTTTCCCACACGCATACACTGCTTCCTCCCTCAATATTTGTTTTAAATTCACAGCTAGTCATGTCAGATAAGGGTCTCTGCTCTATCTACAGACCCATTAAGGTCTTATTCTACCTCCAAAATGACTTAGCTCATTTCTGTTTTGTCTGATGGTCAATTTGATTGTTTTAAGGTAAGATGATTTGAAAGAATCCTTATCTGAATCATCAGTGCTGCTAAAGTCATGTCTCTTCTGCTGCATCAGAACAGCATTCCTGTCTTTGAATTCTCTTTGAACACAATCAAAAGTCTCCTAAAATCAACAGGATTCTTTTCATAGACATCTTAAGGATCAGAGCCTTTGAAATACTCTCCTCTTCAGGCTCACCCTGTGTCTAGGGTGATCACTGTTCTTCCACACAGCTACTTATCCTCCCCTGCTCTTACAGTGCTTTGCTATCTAGTTCATGCATTTTCGAAGTTACCGCCTTCAAGCAAGCTTGTCACTTGACTCCTCCAGCAATAAAGCCCTCAAAACCTTCCCACACTTGAACTTCTCTTCCCATACTTGAACTGGTCTTCCAGTTACAGTTTTCTCTTCCTATCTGTTTCAGCTTTCCTTGGAAGTCAACATTGTCAGCAAGGAAAATATCTGCTCCACGACGCATCTGTGTGAGTTAGCCGACAGGCCAAAGTATTTTCTATTGAAAATAAAAAAAGCACAAGAATTGGCAACTCTGTTAGGAAGAAGTTGTTAAATATTTTACCTTGATGTGCAAATGGGAAGTTAATTTGTTCTCTCCAAATAAAATTAGAGTAAAATTTTAAAAAATTGAGTAAAAATAGTATTTTGGTTTCTTTTCCAAAAGCAGCAGGATAATAAAAACAATGACCTTGGCAGAGAGTCAGAAAAAATACACTTAGTCTCCTAGAATTTGTAACAAAAAAACAAGCTCCAGAGCTACTGGAGATAAGTTACTTTTATCCTCTCTCCACCCACAGTTTAGCAAAAAAATAACTGTGCATAAAGTTCTGGTGAAGGAGAACTTGCCAGCAAACAACGAATGCTGCAGACAGGCTTGGAAGCACGCTCTTTGAGACGGCCTGTTCGGTGAAGGTGTGCCAGTTGATCTCTGCCATCACCGAAACGCGCAGCACAGTGCCTCTTCCCTGGCAATCCATCACGGTGGCATTAAGTGAATTCCACTGCATTTCCCTAATGGGAGTGACCTGGCAACCAGGAGAGGAGAATGCAATGCCAACGCTCGGGTCTGCATTCAGTGTCTCGGTCACCTCTCTCAGCAAGGGAAAGGGAGAGGACAGATTCCACAGTATTTTCACTTTCTTAATTTTAAGATGTGCATTTATGCATGCACAGGCTCAGGGAAGCCGGTCTGGGAAGTGAATTTTCTAAGCATTATGAAAACTAAAATCCCCATAGCAAAATCTTGGAATTTTTGAATATTTTAATTTTCTGGAACGCAGAGCTTGTGTTGCTCTGGACAAGATGGAGCCTTTTATTTCCCACCCATCCAAGAATTCAATTCAGAGATGGCAAGGCAGGGTAGAAGTGTTGTTTTTGTTAACGGGACTCTTGGCTGAAGGTCAGACTCCACGGCAGCAGTGAATTTTGTTTGTGTCTTTTGCTCAGAGCGTGCCTTTCAGCCTTTCAAATGTGAATGTTCACATGAACGTTAAATGTGAATCCTGCTCCACTGGACAGAACAAGTTCCTCCGTCACTCAGTTTGTTCAGATACAGGAAAATCTGCGCATTGTTCAATCTGGTCTTGTTGCCACCAAAAGACTTCAAACTAATGAGTGCCTAATTGCATTTATGATGTACTTTGACCTCTTTATCCCCATGTTTGTATGTGCTGCCCACTGTTCCAGGAAGCCACTGATGCATTTCAAATGTGGAAATGAGCAAATCTCTGCCACATACAGTACGTACCTTCAGCTGCTTCTACCTTTTAAGCTACCATTTCCAGGTGGTGGTAGGCGTTGAACCAACCTTATCATCCTTTTTCATTACATAATTTCTACCACACAAATATGGAAAGGAATTTTTATTCTTCTCTCTGATTTCACAGGGCAATTTCTATACAGGACACTGTATCACATGCATAGTACTTCACATGTCTCCTGAGACAGAACAAATTAATTAAGAAGCACATTAGCTATTTAGTAGCAAGACTCCACTTAATGATCAAAGTTCTTCCTTCCCCCTCCAGGAGAAGTCATTGACAACTAAGTCTTATCTCTCAAATTAGCCTGTGAATGTCTGGCATCTTGCTCAGTGAGAGCAGTTTCCATTAATACCCACCCAAGGGCAGAAGACACAGACGTTTTCATGCCAGTTACAGATCTTGGCCTAGGCTTTCTCTCCAGTGCCTAGTGCATCTCTTCAGCAGCTCTGCCCTAATCCTTTCCCTGTTTTGATTCTCCAATTCTCTTGTATGCTAGGCTTGGTGTTTAAACCAAGCCAAGGTGATTCAGCAAATATCTTTTGCAGCTCTCTGCGGGGTAGGAGCACCTGACAGCAAGATGACTCCACAGATTGTGCCTTACCCAGCAGTCTACCACCATGCTACGAGAGGTTAGACAACAGTCAGCAAAAATCCCTCCCTGATCATGGGAGATGAATGCCTTTAGAGAGGGCCACTAACAATCCAAGGCTGTAAAGTAATTTAAGTGTATGTTTACTTTGATATCCATCAGTGGAGGAAGACAGCCAAATACTTCCAGCACTACGACCTGTTTCAAGGCTTTAATAATTGGTCCAGAAGAACCCAGATCTATTTTTACAAGACCATCCTAATTTTAATTTAATTCAGGGTTTGCAGCATTTATGAGAACTGTATTAACAAGACAGCAACTAGTGCAGGGGGACAAACTGCACATGCCACAGAAGATCTGAACAGGGCCTGGATCACATACTCCAGCAAAAGCTCCCGTACCTTTGTAGGAGACAGAGTTTGGAGTTTGTCAATCATCTTCTGGGTGGAAAGGAGAAACAGCTTTTAACAAAATGGAGATGGACAGAAAAAGCTTAAAAGAATACCTGACAACTATGAACCTGCAGAAAGAAGAAAGCATGAAGAAGGAATACATTCAGATAAATCCTCCTTTCAGTCAATTATACTCTTCTTTGGAATACTGACAATTAAGTTTGGCCACTGTTGTGAATAAAGTTGTCCCACCATAAGAATTTATGGAAATATGAGGAGGCTGTGAACCTGTTTACGTAAAAAAAAAGGACTGGGTTGGAGAAACAGGGAAAGGGAGCTGGAAGTAAAGTGGAAGAACCTTTCACTGAGCATGTCCTCTGGGCCACCACATCTGCTTGCTTGTGCAATGGACTACAGTATCAATATTGCTGCAGTCCTTCAGCTGCTGAATGTAATTCTTCAGCTTCTTGAATGTAGTTCAAGATTACCTTATTCTTTAACTACCGTATTGGCACCTATTTAACTCATGATTTCTTAAATACTCCTGTCACTGAATTCCTACAATAGCAGAATTAATCCAACATTAATGTACTGATTAGTTGTTAATCAGTAAAAAATCAGCCTCATCATTTCCAAATTTTAATTTTACCATGAAAGAATTGTGATGCTAAACACCAGTTGTTAATCACCGAAATCCAAGACTAAGTTGCAGACCTGCAGAAAACCTTTTCTTAGAACAGGGGAATCCAC